GCAGCCAGGGCTGGTGAATGGACAACAGAGGGCAAAGACTGGAAGGACCTGGAAAAACTCAGTGGCAGCAAGAATAGCCAGCGGGGTCAAGCAAGGATTGGAATTATCTGGCTGAGCCCTAAACCTCACCATTGGGTCAGGTGGGACATGCACGAGTAGCCAAGTTTTATGGCCCATACAGGTGGTAACACGACAATCACTGTAACAGAATGACATTCAAAACCATGCCAACACCTTAGGAATCAGGAGAGATCCATTTTTAGTGCTGACAGCACGATCTTCTATGCCCTGGATTGCAATATTTTAAGAAAATAATTGATTGGGTAACTCCCACACTCATCCTTAAAAAAACAACTTACTGTTGATTCCTTGGTTTCAAATATCTCACTGGCCTCCTCGAAGTCACAGTGCTCTTCAATGCACTCCCGCTCCACAGAGCCCGGCTTGAGTTCCTCCAGGAAAGAGTTCGCCCGCTTCTGGATCCTCAGGACCTGGTTTGCATCTTCAGTGCTGTAAAATACTGGAAGCAAAAATGTGAAAGCACAAGCAGAGAAAAGAGCTGGCTGAAAACTAGTAGTGGTGCTTCCCAAAGGACACTTAGCAGAGCACCAGCCCCTGGGGCTGCCCTGGACACCAGAGTCTGTCTGTGCTGTGCTGCAGAAGCTCCAGCTCCTGCTCTGTGCTACTCTTGACAGCTCAGGGGCTCAGGAGGGCTGTGACCAGGCAGCTGTCATGGCCCAGCACTGCCTGTCAGCTCTGCTGGAGGAATTCAAACCCCCTAATAATGGAAAGGATTCCAGCTGCTCCATCTGACTGACAGAGGAGCAGGAAATGCACGTGCAGCGACTGGGGAAGGGTCTCTCTAAAATGAAAACTTACTTGAGGTGCCGCAGACCCAAGCAGAGCAGGCAGCCAGCAGCAGCCCCAGGGCAAGGTGCTTCCACATCCTGCAGCAGGAGTCACCTGAGGAGAAGGCAGGTGTGAAGAGGAGCACACTGCTGAGGGACAGCAAGAGCCTGCTGCAGACAGTTCCCCCCCAGCCAGCTCCTTCACTGGCCTGTCACAGGCCTGACTCGACGACTCCAGCTCTGGAGCGGCCATTCTCAGTCCCTCCACACCTGTTTGCTCATTCCCTCTAACCCATCAGCAGCTCTCCCAGAACACTTTATGTCTGCCCTGACACTCTCCCCTTGCCACTGGACATTTTTGACAAGCTTCCTGCTCCATCAAAGCAAGCTCTCCTTGGAAATCCTGAAGGATGCAATACTTTTGAAGCACTTACTGCTTTGTTCAGTGGGGATCAGGGTGATCTATTCTTCCGCCATGAGCTCTGCTGGAACTTAGTTAATCCATAACTTCAGATATTTACTCTTTGGAGTGACATGAAGTTAAACAAACAGTGCTCAGGGGGAGCTTGACAAATGACCTGCACACAGGGGAAAAGTGAAATAGCTGAGGCACCCACTCTGTCTTTTGAAAATCTGGGGGTTTTTTTCTTTAGATTCTCTGGCAAGCAGAAATTGTTATATTTAGTTTGTAAGCATAACCACCCAGTGCTAAGGTCTCTTGAGAGATCCTACCGTCTTCTCACAGCATGCAATCATCCAAAAGAGACACATATTGCAATTTTTAAGAGTCGTCCCACTTTACTTTCTCACCCAAGATTCCCCCCCCCAAAACAGCCAAGGGAACTAATCCCCCTGACAGCCACGAGCAGGTACCAGAAGCTTGTACCAGCATGCCACATCTTTTGGTATACTGGGTTAGCTCTCATCAGCACAAAGTATTCTACAGAATTCTGAATATTAAACATTTAGAGAAAACCCTCAGTCCTTTTCAGAAGTTTTCTTGCATTGGAGGTGGGGGGAACCAGCATTTCCCCTTCTCTGAGAACAGTGTGTACAGCAGCACCTCTGCAAGCTGGGCAGCAGTCACAGAATTACTGAGGTTGGAAAAGACCTCTGAGTCCAACCTGTGACCAATCACCACCTCATCACCCAGACCAGAGCACTGAGTGTCACATCCAGCCACTCCACCACCTCCCTGGGCAGCCCCTTCCAGTGTCTAATCACTCTTCCTGTGAAGAAATTCTTCCTAATACTGAGGACATGGCATTTTCATGCAAATTACCTGTGCAGGCAGGAGTCCTCAGGGGTCCTTTGTCAGGGAAAGTGCCACTGGGGTCCAGTGAAAGGTGAGCCCGCTGGCCCTGGGATCTCAGCTCACATCCCCTGACACTGTTCAGGAGAGCACTGAGTGCTTATAAAACTTTTCTTTTTTTTTTTCATTTTCACCTCACAAACTTGACCAGGGACTTTCTTGAAAACAAGCTCTCTTTAAACGAAGGGTTCACCGTTCAACCACTGGAGGCTAAAATAAAAGATTGTGGCATCCGAAATCCCAGCTGGGGAAGGTGTGTGCACTGCCAGCTCTGCTGGTGTGTCCTTCATCCTCAGTTCAGCCATTCCACAAGAAAACTTCCACTGACATTAATGGCAACAGATTTTTGTGGCAATTAAAGTTTACGCAACATACCTGAATACAGGAAACACAGGTAGGACCATATATTACATATATTACATATATTCATATATGTAGCTGATTTTGCCATTTGCTACCACACAGGTTGCATGGGTTTTAATACTTGGTATAAAGTGTATATATATATATATACACCAAGTCTAAGACTTGGTATAGGTTGGAAATTTAGGACATGCACATTAACTGCCAATCTAGAAGATTCAAACCTGTGTGTCAGTCTCCTAAAAATTTCTTATTTTTTTTAAAACCCCTATACTGATACTCAGAAAGAATTTACTTCATCAGCCCTTGTGTTTTGAGGGCTTTATTATCCTGGTTTCCCATTTCTCCTGCCACTGTAGTGCAGAAATGTGTATTTTAAAAGCCTGCACTTGGGCTATCAGATGATCTTATGACTCCTGGTGCAGGGGATTGAAGAAAAGATACTCTAGGGTACCTCAAGATCTGCCCAGTTCTGCATGCCAGGGAATCATTTCAATCTAAACAATTACAGTGCTGGGCTCTCTGCTTTCTAGTTCACCTTCATTAAAAAAAAGGGATTTTTCTAAGGAGGGCTAGAAAAGGGTAAAGAGGAGAAAGAGGAAACTTCACAAGTGGATGGCAAGACAGAGGCTCCATATAATTTAAATTAACACTGTGGAGAGTTGTGATTCACAGTTGTCACAAACAGCTCTACCAAGGTCTCCCTCTCATCCTGGGCCCTGATTTCTTGCAAGACCTGCAGAAACCCAGTGTTCTGTGAGCCATCATCTCTCCCCATGAACCACCTGAAACGAAACAGTGCAGCCCATGAGTGCAAACCAACCTGCTCCTGGAGAAGGACCAGAAGGCTTAGGCCACCCCTTCCCTGCTCCCAGGAGGAAAAGCCATAGGCCACAAATGACCTTGTATTTTACCATGAAGGTCACTTGGTCACTGGAACTCTTCAAACAGAAGTTGCTCAAGAACTGCCATAAATCTTTTAGCTGTTAGAACATGAAATGTAACTTCCCACAGTCTCAGAACCTTCTTAGGTTCTTAATTCTCAGAACCTTCTGAGAATTAAACATCTCGAGCTGCTCCCAACCACAGAGCAGCCAAACAAGGAATTTACCTTATGACTCTGCAGTTGCTTTACAGGTGAGAAGTGGCAGGGCTGCTTCTGAACCTGTTAGTTTACAGAGCTGCCCATTCGGCTGGAGCAGATCTCCCTGCCTTCTCCTCAATTCTCAAGACACTTTACACTCTATTAAAAAACCCAAATACATAAACCCTCCCTACCCAACACCACCTAGGACAAGGGAAACACCAGAAGAATAAGAATACTTTGTGTTTTTAAAACTCATTGGCACTTCAAGATCTTCACAGCACACCTCTCTTCCCATCCACTCCCACCTCCTGAGATCCACGTGGTAGTTAAATCAAACCAAGAGGATGGCAGCCCTGAGCAGGTCTGACATCTCAGCAATGAGACACTGAGTGGGGCAATGTGTTTTTTTGCTATTGGCTTCTGTCACATAATTAAAAAAAAGACCAAAACAAATTACCTGTATCAGAGAAGTAAGAGTATCTTCTGCCTCTGCTGTTACTTTCTTTGCATGTTTTCTGTAGTGCCACCTAAAGAAGAGCCTTACACTCAGGTCTGATATGATTTTTCTTTTCTCCTTATTCCTGTTCTAGGTAACATTGTAATGATCAATTTTACCATTTTCATCTTGCAGGAGTATGCAACATTAGTATGATTTCTCATGTTCCTGTCACACAAAGTATCTCTCCACACTTCCATTTAACTATCAAGTACAAAGGTGTTTTTCACATAGAAAATATTCACGACCATTATAACTTACTTTCCATCTACTTTGCAACAGTACTGTGGAACTCTACAACCAGTTTAAATTAGTCTGCTGAAGTTTCCTGTCAGCATCTCATGAACACACCAATCTGTATGGATAGAAGAGAAAGTTTATCACAATCAGCTCTACGGACTCCTCACCCAAACACCTCCAAATTCTATCAAGTTTACAGGTGTCCTTTTATGGCACTGAGTTTCTACAGTCCATGAGAAAATTCCCTTCTCCCACATTTTTGTAAATGCACCTTCACTCGTTCCAGTTACTGTATACATTGCCTGCAGTACATAGAGTGCTCCCCTCCCACCCTGGCACAGCACCCATGGGAGCTCTGCAAACACATGAGGTAACAACACACACCCTACTGTGTTCCTGGAAGGGTCTGCCCATCGAGCTGGGGGTTTGCAGGCAGCAGAGCTATGAGCAGGATGAGCACCAGCAGAAACACCACATTTAAAACATCTTTTGTTCACTGCAAGATGTAGCTAATGAAAATAAACTACCTGATGTCTTCTACTCCAATTAAACCAGCACAAAAAGCTGCTACAAAACTAATCTACAACACTCCCATTTACTATTTCACTCCCCTCTAAGGAACAACTTCTGATGCAAGTCAGATAAAGCCACTTGATCACAGCACAGTTTTTTATTAGCTGGTTCCCACCAGACGGGCACAGCAGCCCTCTCACAACAAAATCAGTAACAGAGAATCCTTACTGGAAGCTCAGAAACATGTTTACTTTATATACAAGAAAAACTTATTTACAACAATCAACAGTAAACTATGTACAAAAAAAAAATACAAGAGACATTGCCATGGTAGTCACTGTATAAATTAACATAATAAATAGGAGGGAAGCAGGTCCCATTCTTAAGGCACAAAACCTTCTTCCCAAGCCTGTACAGGGATTCACTTGCTTCCCTATGCTTTTGACAGGATCACAGGAATGGCGGGGAGACCCCTGAGGAACAACAGTCGGTGGACAATGATATGGACACGCAGTCACTGCTAACAGCTGTAGAAAAGCATCATTTTTCATCCTTTCCTTTTTTTTTTTTCTTTTTACAGTACACACATCTTAAGATACAAAATATTTCTTGTAAACAGTCTTTATAAATCAGGTGGCTAGTATGCACATTTTTAAATAACACTAAAACAATGAACGAAGCTCCATTCGATTTGGGTGCAGAAACATTCCCAGGACTGGCACTGAAGGCCTTGGCAGAGCTGGAAGCCCCCAGGCTCCTGTGCAGCCCAGCCAGGCAGCACCTCTGTACAGCTCCCTCTGCTGCAGAGGAGGGGGCACGAAGATCCCCCGAGCCAAAACAGACAGGCTGGATCAGCCCTCGCGGAGGGAGCCCAGAGCAGGGCACCACTGGCAGCTGCTTCACGGGCCAAGCGTCCCTGGAGTCCCCAGTGCATGCAACCCCACCTAACCCCAATGGCATTCCCCAGAATCTGCCATCAAATATCCAGGACCGTGCCAGAGCGTGAGAGAACAGATTGAAGGAACCCTATGCCCATTGCAGCCACTGCCAAGGGGAGGGATGAGGAACAGAAGGTGCCGCGCGGCTCTCCCAGGAGTTGCATTTTTTAAGAGACTAAACACTGTGTGATATGTGCAGTCCTAGCTTCTCTCAAGCTGGTGTTTACCTGAGACTGCTGGACAGTCTCTTTTTTGGCAAAGCAGCAGATTTTATTAATTGTCTTTCCTGAGTTTCTCTCCCACAAAAGAATTATCAGATGCCGGAAGAGGAACTCGGAATAATGTACCCAGGAGTTCAGCTCCCTACTCTGCAGATGGCTCTCACTGTTCAACACAAATTGCCTCCATCTATTCACAAAATCTCTGCAACAGAAATCTGCATTATTCCCAGTGAGACACACAGAGCTATGGCCCTTTTGTTAGATCTATACCTTAACAAATATTCAAAGGCACTCAGGTTAAATGTGGATCCCATTTTCTAGCTCTTAAAAGAAGGTAGAACTCCCTCCCTGCCTCTGATAAGCAACAGACAGGAATATACTGGCTCTCAACCCTTTGATAAATGTGCATGCACACAAAAAGGATCTGAAGGCATTGCCACAAAGATCATAAAAGCAAAAGAAATGAAGATGGGTCTGTGCAGGCATCATCACTCAGAGCAGATGGCTAATATTGACAGATATGGCACGAATTAAGGAACATGCCTGAACGTAAAAACTCTGGATTCCTCTGTTGCTCTGGGCAGGAAGAGTAGAGAGAAGTTGTTTCTATGGAGGCAATAATTTAATCCCTCAGGGATTATGCAAGCAAGGCAAGTGCATATTGTTTATGCATCCTTAACCACGAGGTTGCCTGGGGAAAGTTCAGAGCAAGAACAGCTCCTTCACCACAAAGAGGAACAAACACAGATCTCACCTCTCCTCCAGAGTTCTCACCACAAAGAGGAACAAACACAGATCTCACCTCTCCTCCAGAGTTCCCACCTCACTCCCCTGCTGCACTCTCCTGGGAAGGCACTGGGATGTCCCAGCCAGGCCCATTCCTGGGACTGTCAGCAGGGAGGATGGCTGCAGCCTGGAGATCTCCTTAGGGGAGGCTTCTCATTGGCATCCACACACTGCTCTGGGCATCACCAAGCAAGTGGAAAAATACACTATGTCTGCAATTCTTATTGACCTGATGCCTCAGGAATTCAATATAGTGAGGGGGGTCTGTACTGAGAAATAAAAATACAGCTATGGAAGCAATTGCCAATGTATAGGTAGGAAAAACAAACTCAGGGCAAAGCTGGACGTATTTCTTGCTCAGTCCCCACAGTATTTATACCAGAAATGTTTCTACCTGGATCAAGCACATTAATCTTCTTTTATCTTCTCATGAGGAAAACCTGTCACCAGGCTGACTGGTTAGAACAGACAGGGAGAGCTGGAATAATCCTTGGTGAAATATGGAGAATCCAGTGGAGTTTGCCCAGAATGAAATCAGCCCAGAACCTTTATAAGCTGTCAAGTCTTTACATAAGCTAACTTGACTGCTTGTTGTTAGACTAGAGAGGTGATATCAATTTGATAAAAATCCTTACAAAGAAGAATGATGTCCTCAGGTAATGATCTTTCATGCCACTGTGTATGTGGCCTATTCTGTCTGCAGCCACAATCAGACAGGTGCCACTCTGTAATAATAAAAAAATAAAACACACACAAACTGACAGAGCAGTTAAAAATTTCTGCTGTCTCCCAACTTCTACAGCACTGGTTGTTCTCAAATTTCCTTTGCAGTGATAAACATGGTGATATAACTATCCATGCTGGTCTTGGGCTTTAACAGTCACCCAGCTGAGGCCAGGCACCTAGAAACTCTGAGTCAGAGGCATGAATTTTTCCATGCTACACTGTTGATGGAACCAAAGGCAATTTATCAACATACTTCTGTTTTCATTAAGATGCTCATGTCCTCAGTAACAATCCTCCTTCTCTCAGTGCTCTGATGTCTGAGAAGACATGGTATCTCTCTAAGGGGTACTGAGCCATCCTAGTCTTTTGGTATCACCTTGGAGTGAAGGAGCAAGGCAGCAAGAGAGACAAGCAAGGTGGAAAAAAAAGCCATTAAGACCAAGACAGGTGAAAAGATGCAAGTATTAGACATAAATCACATATTTTGTGACAGAAATAGTTTTCTGCACTGCAAGTTGAAGCAAAGAAACAGCTCTCTTGTTTGTGGCCACAGAAGTGGCACTAAATGGGCAGGCTGTTGCCCATCATTCTGCTCCCTCCACCGAGATGGAGTAAATTGTCCTATATCTCATTTCATTATGTTACACTTCTGTGCCGCCCAAACATCTCATTAGCTTTCCTCTCCCTTTTATCTGGCCTCCTGAAGATGAATTCAGAAGAGGGAATGTCAGAGCTGATCTCCTGCAACCTTCTGGCTCTCCAGAATTTCGTCTTTTCTTACTACCAGAATTTCTGAACAATTGTTTGTGATGCCTGAACACCTGATGATGTACCATTGCCCCTGGCTGGGACAGGAGAGCCAGGCCCAGTGGGAGGCCTGGCCAGCTGGTGAACCACATGCATTGTTTGTTGCAAAGGCATAAGTGAGTGAGAATCACTGATATTCATCGGAGGAGGTCTGTACTGACTTTGAATTTTGGATGCAAACTGCATGCAACTACAGGTGTATTAAAAAGGGAGAAGTAAGACAAAAGGACAAGCTTTGTCCCACTTATATATGCTAAATACAGGTGTGGCACAGAGATGAGTGGGAAAGTTTTGGGTCTGAAGAGACTGTCAGATGTTCCTGAACTAAGACTGGCCAATATATCTTTTGCCCTGAATTATTCTACTGTGATGAAGTTATCCAGTAAAGGTAGCTGTGTTGCAATTCTCAGGAGTCTTGCACTGTCACTGGAACCAGAACTTCCCACGTCAGAGGACGTGGCTCTTCCAACAGCGAGTGCGTTCCCTCCGGGAGGCTCTGCCGACTGCAGATCAGGTGCCTCTCCACTGGATGCAGCCGTACCCCACAGGAAAAAGTAGCACCATGCTTGGTTGATATGAGCTCTGAACAGCTCCAACTTGGCTGCTCAGTAGAGACAGTTGTGAGCACATCTGCTCGGTGAGGTGACTGCTGTGCAGTCAGCGGGAATGGTAGACACAGGCTGTGAAAACAGAGGCTAAGCCTCGCTGGCAGAAGTGCTCCGGCTCAGCTCCTTGATCCCGTGCAGGATCCTCTTCATGTGACCCACTTTGGTCACACCCAGGTCCTGGAAGAAAAGAGAAAACCTTACCCTCAGAGAAAGGCAGGGGGGAACTCCAGGTGGCCAAGCAATGGTTACAAACTAGTCAGCCAGTTACAAAGAGAGAAGAAAACCAACCAGAAAGATAACAAACCTGAGGGTTATATACAGCACTTCCAACCACATGTCAAAAAGCTACTAAGGATGCAGAGCAGGCACAGAGAAGTGTAGAGAAACAACAGCAGACTGTTAGCCAGAAACACAAATTGCTTTGGCTGTCAAAGACTGAGAGAACAGAAAGAGCACACAGATCAAGGACCTAAGCTAGCAGCCAAAACATGCAGGAACAACCAACCAGTCACATCAAATAACTGGTTACCATGCAACAAAACCCAGGCTGCAGCTGGATGGCATGTGGAGGGATCAGCTACACAGGTCACAGTAAACCTCCCAATGGGAACACAGTCAAAATCACACATGAGATCCAAGGAGCATTCGACAAATGCCACAAACCACTTCATAAGTGTTTTCCTGCTCTATGCAAGTGACCACAATGATGACATAAGTCTCTTGCACATACAAAGCACTTTCAAGTTCTCTCCATAGAGACAGTGTCTCCTGGTGAGGAGATGAAAAGTTGTGCAATGTGATTGCTAAGCACTATTAAAAAAGATTCTCTCTGTCTATGAGCCTCATCAAAGGGCACAATCACTTTTTCTGGTAACAAAGAAGTGTGATGATCTATTTGCCCAGTCACTGCACAGTAAGAACCAAATTCTGCCAATCACAGCACATTCTGCAAAGATGGGACAGTAGCCGAGAAGTTGAAAAGTTCCATCATTAAAATCAGAGACTCTCAAGAACACTATCTGAAATCTGTATGCTGGACTGTATCACATCTCTAGAAGACTGTGGCAGAACTGGACAGCTGGTCCCTCAACTACCTCTTCTACCTCCCCACTATTAAAAACCAGGTGACCTAAAACAGTGAGAAAACAAAACGAGACTGCAATGACCCTGTTTGTCTTGCCAGGGCACTGGAACGAACAGCAGGCAGACCACTTCCAAGCACATTCAGCACAGAAGTCATGCAGATGCAGCTGGCTATTTCTCATGAGCCAACCATGAAAGTACCTTGAGGTCCCTCCGCTCGAGGTGCAGGAGCTCAGAGCCCCGGACGTCATGGCGGATGAAGATATCCTTATACTCACAAAGACTGAGATGCTCAAGCCAGGCCGCAACCTCCTCCGTTCCCCAGAGGTGAACTGTCAGAGATGGAAAAGCAGGAGTGCATTGAGTACCCAGAATCCCAGGAGACAGTGAGAGATGAGGACACCACAGCACTGAGTGCCAGAGGAGGAGGGCAGCCAGGACCACAGCCTCAAACCAAGGGGAGGGCAGCATGACCTACGATCTCAAACAAAAGAGGTAGGACAGAGAAAGGTAAGAGGTGTTCCCTTAAGTAGAGGCTTGCTGTGGTACAGCCAGGAGGAAGTGCATGTTTGTTTTGATGGGATTGGATATGTTTTTTAAAGTTTACCCCTACGCTTTAGAAGAGTCAATTCACTGATACTCTTCTGTGTACAAAACAACAGGTTGATAAAATACATGATAAAGAATCACAGCACAGATTACTTTGCTATTATGTACAATCACTTGTGCTCAGTAAACAAAATGGCAAACTCCCCCTTGTCTGAGGAAAAGAGGAGGAGTTTAGAGGTTTAGACTTCCACCTTCTTGCACAGCCTCTAAATAAGAGAATAATAAAGTTTCCAAGTTCTGGGAGGCAACGAATGAACACCAGCCTGTCAGACAGAAGGAGACTGTACCCACAACCCCATGGCAGAGGACAGGACCCAGGAGCCCACAGAACAGGTAGTACTTCTGAATTTTAGAAGAAAGCCTTCATAAGGAGAGCACAAACCAAAAATCAACTAACCCAATTTGGAGAGAAAGTATCTTGAAAAGTACAGGTAGTACTTCTGAATTTTAGAAGAAAGCCTTCATAAGGAGAGCACAGACCAAAAATCAACTAACCCAATTTGGAGAGAAAGTATCTTGAATGGCAACTTGTTGATTCATGGCCAGTTTTTATCTAGTTACCAGTAGGATTAAAGGTCAGGGTGCACCTGTGGTGATGCTGATGCCCAACCAACTAGACATGAAACTTGATTAAAGCCTGAAGGTGAATCAATGAGAAAACAACATTTACCATATCACAGAGAATTAGCAGTGAAGAAACTGGAGTTATGCGGACTTGGGCCCCACAGTCATTTTGATACTTAAAATGCCAAAATCCTCAAATTCACTTCCCTAAACACCCCCTGAAATATCCCTGGAAATATGTAGAGAGAATTCTTCAGAGGGTACCTCCTGTTCCTGCTCAGGAATGTTTGTGTGGTACTGGGGGATCATGACTCAAAAAGGAGCAACAAACTACTCTGCCACATGAAGACGACTGAGTAGACCTCCAAGAAAAGGCAGATGCAGGTGAAACAGGAGGAATATGTGAGGAGACAGACAAAGAAGAGGTAGTGTGACAAAGAGACACAGTGAATGAGCAGACTGGGTACCCGGCAGTCCCATGCTACTATGAGTCTCCTTATTTTTGTTGTTCTTCTCCTTTTTAAACTTGGTCACCAGGCGGAATTTGCCACTGCGGCTGCGTTTAGAATAATCCAGCATCTGGTTCTGCAAGAACAGAAAGGGAAAATCAGGCTCTCAGTTGTAAATTGATTGGGATGAACCAAGAGCAACAACCACTGTCAAGCTCAGTTCCACGACCTTGTAAGAGAGGGAAAAAAAATTCTAAACTCATTCTGATCAAGAAAGGAAAGGAAGCAGAGAAAGTTCATCCCATGTCAGCCAAGGGATCTTAGCAGGAAATTACTTTCTTTAGCCCTGGGGAGCTGAGTTTCCTTCTTAATGACGTTTTCTCACATCAGTCATACAGTCACAGCCAACTAGGGAAAAAGAGAACAGCTAGGGAAAAAATAGCCCTGGTTCTCCTCACCTCCTCATCACAGGGCTCCATAAGCTGCCACAGCCAAGGGATGTCTGCCAACTTCCTCAGCTGGAGGTCCATGTCTGCCAGGGCTGCCTGGAGCTGCTCCTTCTGGGGAGGATCTAATTGCTAGATCAGAAATGGAAACAGAGTAGAGTTAAAACCACATGGTGGAACACACAGTCAGGCCCTTGCCTCAAAATCCCTAGCTAACAAAGCAGTTCCTCCTTATAAAAGGAAGTGCACAGCAAGCACTCTGTCCAGACCTTACCAAGCCAATGATTCTCATCTGTTCTGAGCTCCAAACTCCACAGAGTCTACCTTGACTGCTCATCATGCCCATGTAGCAAAATCATCCTAATTCCTGGATGATAACATTTAAACTGACTGTAGAGTTACAAAGACAAGGAAGCCCAAGACCAGCAAAATGTTATGCCAAGGTAATAGGAGGAGAGGGGAGGAAGTGAGAGGCTGCTTTCCTCCTGCTTTGTGTTCCTTACCAGAGCCATCTTGCCTGCCAGCAGCAGCTCTGTCTCATTGTGCAGGGCTTTGACATTATTCACCAACTCTACCACGAGGCTGCAGTTCAGACCCTGCAGGGAAGCAATTCATGCACAAGTTAAGCCTGATAGTGCAGAAGTCTGAGCAGTCAAAAGGAAGAAGTCTTACACAAGCAGGGCCTACTTTTGGTCAATCAGAAAGGAAAACCAAGAGCTATGGAGTGAGGACAAAATGGGAGATGCCAATGAGTGACGTACCTCTGTAGACTTGGATTTAGCGTAGACTTTGTCCATAGACTTGGAGCTGGCATTGACAGCATGGGCAAGCTCCTGTTCCATGTCCTGATAGGACTGGGCTATTTCCCGAATGCTAAAGAGAGAATTAGATTGCATCAGCACGTGCTCAAAGCAGGAGATCTCTTCTGACTGGGGATCTCCTCCTAACACCCCTCTGAGCGACAGGGGCAGGGCTGGGGCACAGGAGGGGCACAGCCCCTGGCAAAGCAGGGCAGTTCTCCCCCCACAGTGAGCACACACAGGCAGATCTCACGGGCACAACTCCAGGTGCATGTTCAATTCTGCAAACAAATTGGGATCAGTGTGAAATACAACCCAGACATTTTAGTATGGCCACGGTGAAGTGAAAGGCAGCTGCACTTAGGGCAACTTAATTAACACTTCTCTGATGATTCTGGGAATTTTCTCTCAGAAGCTCAGACCAAGGTGCAGAATGTCTGACCAAAGGATGAACAGATGAGCATACAGTGACTTCTTCCAAAAAATCTCTGCTGGGCATCAGGGTTACAAGAACCCAGGTTGTCATCTGAGCTCCCAGAGAGGCTTTTGTTTCTTTTCTGATAAAAAGTAATTTATATTCAAAGATAATGGGTTCTTTCAGATTAAAGTATCCATGTTTGCTCACAACAGTAATATTTTTTGTTCATAATGGCCTAAGAAAGTTTATTCAACTTCAAACCTTGTGCAGATGGGACAGTGCATAATGAATGAGGCTGCTCCCAGTGACATGGACCAGCACTGTAGAGGGTGAGAGTGAACAGGAGCATCTCTAGGAACAGGAAGTATGACTCCAGGCCCCAAAGGAGGGCTCTATCACCAAAAGCAGGTTGAGTCGCACCTGTGGATCAGAGCACCTGCAGCTTGACCAAACTGGTTGATCTGAGTGGATTCCTCTTCAGACATGATCTCTGGTTGCAGAGAGAAAGACGAGGGTCGGGACAACTCACACTTCTGTTTGTCCTCCCAGGACTTGAGGGTGCTCTCAAATGCCTAAAAACACAACAAGCAAACTATCAGGTACCTTGTGAAGCTCCTGTAAAAACCCAACGATTGTGCCTACACCTGTAAAACATGTAGATCTGGTCCAGACACTTTTCATTGCAGGACCCAGCTGCTGAGATGCCTAGAACTTTGCTAACTAGCTGGGTGGACTGAAGTTTTCCATGCCACATGCTTGCTTTGCTTTAATTTTTGTTTAAGCATAGTTTTAGTCAAAATTGGTAGGCCAGTTCCAAGGGCCAGACTAGTAAAAATACATCCATTTCCTACTGGCGACAGCCTTTTCTTTGAGTGGCTCTATAACCTCTACACTTCACTATTACTGTGACACCTCAGAGCTTGAAATTAAAAATGTTCAAGGCTCCTCCATATCTGGAAGTAAATGGTGTTTCCCTAGGAACTGGTGGGTCAAGCAACTGAACTCAGAGCTAGGACCTGTCCTGTTTGCACCCTTACTGATATTCCTGGCAGCAGCTAGTGGTGTGGGAAGAACCAAAACAGATCCAATGCAGAAGGATCAAAACTGAATACAGTGAGAATGAAAACTGTGGAGCCCTGTGGTAAAGTAATCCCTTCCCCTACTGCCCCTCCTCCAGGACTTTGTCAGGCTCAGTCAGCTCTGTCAGCTCAGTGCAAGCTACCTGATCTCAGTCCTGCTGATGACTCTTCACTGGTCCAGATGAGGCCACATAAGGGAATTTTTTTCCATCTTCAGTTTAGGAAACTATATATCCAAAATCACATTTGAAAAATGTTACCAAAGGTACAGGGTCACATGCATGAAGAGAGGACCCCAGTTCATCAACTGAATAGGACAGGTTTGCTCTGTGAAGGAAGGGGTGTGCCATGATCATCAAAAGGACAGCAGGAAAAACAAGGATAAGCCCATGGCCACGACAAAGTTGTGTGTTGCTCTGCAAAACTGGAACCTATTCCTCAGTAGCAATTCCATACCTGCAAAATCAGGTCTGCAGGCAGTGAGGAATGGGATGGCACAACCACAGCCACGGCTTCAGGTGGCCCAACACACAGCACACTCACAAGAGACTGCTGTGTCCTCTCTACCTCTTGTGCTTCACTCCACCTTCCCCACCATCCCCACATATAAGCTGCCTCTCCTTTTTTCCCCTCCCTTTACCATTTCAGCAGGAATCGTGTTCCCCCTTGCTCTCTCTCTTCAGACTAGATATAAGAAAGACATTTCATATGATGAAGGTTATGAAATGCTGGCAGAGGTTGCCCAGAGAGGTGGTGGCTGCCTCATCTCTGGCAACATTCATGGTCAGGTTGGACAGGGCTTTAGGTAGCCTGGTCTAGGGGAAGGTGTCCCTGCTCATTGCAGGGGGGTTGCATTAGATGACCTTTAAGGTCCCTCCCAACCCAAACCATTCCACGGTTCTATGATCATTACCCACAGCAGCTTTGTATGCCCACCTTTGCTTTCTCTTCATACTACCATGTTTATAACTTCCTGCCTGTATGAGGCTGCTTTCACTTTTTCTCTTTGCTCTTCTCTCTTTTCTTGTAATTCAGCAGAGGAGTCTTTTGCAGAGGACCTTGATTTGCTCTGGAAACTGGGTAAAGGGGCACTGTGGTGCAAAGTATCAAGAGCTGCTCTCAACTTAACTGTTTATGCATGGACAGTCACAGAATTGGGAGGAATCATAAAGCCTGTTTGTGCCACAGCAAAGCCTTTATCCTCTCCTTTGGCTTACCCTCAGTCAGTAAATAAGCAGTAAAAGAGCAAGGAGGCTTCCTTATCTGCTAGTACTCATCAGATATATTTGAAAATTATGAGACTGACAAACACTTCTGAACAAGGCATAAGATGCTGCTTTACATGGTCAATGAGGTATAAGCCACATACTGAGCAGTAATGAGAAATTAAGATATTAACCATCTGAATCTAGACAATCCATGGCAGTTGGTGAGGCAGGCACCCTGTGGGAAAAACAGCATGCAAGTGTGTTAAGAAACACTGTCACCAGGCACCTAGAAAAGGAAGTAAAATAAGCTTGCATAAACAACCTTATTTATGCCAATTCCCAAGTGGTGAATGCAAGTCTGATCACATTCTTTCCCAAAAGTTTTATGGTGTGTAACAAAATATGCTTCTTGCATTCACAAAGATAACATTCACGTGTGGCTGTTGCCCCATTCTCCAGAAATATGAGACATAAAAACACGTGTGTGCTGCAAGAGTGTATGCAAGGCTGCTCTTACCCTGTCTCGGGTGAGGGTCTGTGCCCTGTTCTTATGGACAATCCAAATGTAACCTGGAGGCTGGATCCAGGCCTCTCCATCCACTTGCACGGGAACTCCCTCTTCTCCAAGGATTGCTATCTTCACCGTCCGACACTGCAAGAAGTGACTGCATCAGAAAAGCTCTAAAATGTTGGTTTTCCAAAAGCATGAGCCATTCTCTGTCTTTGCAAAGCCCTTCCCCAGGTGCTGGAGCTTTGGTGCTACTTGAGCCATCTGTGTCTGGGCAGCAGGGCACACCTTGCCCTTGAGCAGCAGGGAGCACTTGCTGTGTCTTTGGATGAACCTGTATTTGAGTTGTTGGTCTAACTCCTACCACAGTGAACGCTAGCAAACAACTCCATGCTCAAATCGCCCCTGAATATTCTCATTTCCAGCCCTGGTGGATGCTCTTTTCATGGACCAGAGAGAGCACAAAGGAGAGCTTTACTGACTGAAGCTGGTTCTGAAGCTGGAGAGGGGGCAGGCACGAAGAGCTCAGGGAAGCGGGTGGTACCTGTGCAATGCGGTGGTGCTGCAGGTTGATCACACGTGACACTGCCATCTGCATGCTGCCAAACACGGCCACCACCTCCAAAATCTTGTCATCAAAGGAAGGGGCTGTAAATGTCTGCCAGATACAGGGGAGAGAGAATTCAGATGACATACAGCTCTGTCGAAGAGGTTTCCTTTAACCCCTTACTGGTGCAGATCTGGGGGTCTGCTTTCAAATGTGCTCTTTAATCTGTATAAAATTAACAAGGCTTGAAGCTGACAATCTGCAGTGAACCAGCAGGGAGAAAAAGGAGGCTTGATAGTTCCACTGTGCTTCCAATGGCTAAAGTATAATGCAGACACACAGGCTGTAGGACACAAGGTAATAATTATTCTTCACAAAGTAGGTACTCCTTCAATAAATACAATAAATACAACGTTTCTGAGTAAATCTACCTGCCTTTGCCTTCAAGGGGCTTTACTTCTCCACCAGTCTATGGTGACAAGGTCAACCTAAAACACTTCCTGCAGCTCCAAATAGTCTGGTGATGTTTCTACTGAATCATTACAGACTGCCTGGGTACAAAGCTGCTGAAGACTGAATTTCAGTATCTTACCCACTTCCCAAAGAAAGTACAAGCAGACAGGCCCCTTGACCTCTTCTTGCAAGTACTCTTCTCAGGGGCTCTGACTTCAAAAGCAACACTAAGTAGAAACATTTCCTGGATTGCCTTAGAGAATACTCACATCATCTTCCTTGGTTCCCCCCCAGAAGTTGGTGCCCCCTGCGTAGCTGGGGATGTTGAGTACAGCAATCCCCTGGAGACTGGGCAGAGGGATTGGCCTCCCATCACACTGCACAGAAAAGAAGGCAACACTGCTCTCAGCCCAGCAGGAGAGAGCCCCTCCTGCCAGACCACATGCTCTAAGAACAGAAAACAGCCAACACAGTTTAGTAATACATTAATTCAGGTTTCTTCCTGTTTATTTTTGACCTAGCAGAGTAGAACTATCCACTCAAGTCTCAAGAGCCACACCTCTTTTGGCAGACATGGATTTTAGAGAGATACTGTTGCTTCTTTTCCTCTAACAGGAACAGGGAACACCTGAGGGGCTTGGCAAAACCTCCCGGTTTATTCCTCCAGAAAGGGGAATAAAACTCATGAAACACCTATGTGATGAGGGTCTCCTCCTGCAAGTTACCTGTTTATGTTTTATATGGCCTATACAATAGTAATTTTACCCAGTCAGATGCACATTACAGCACAGTCAAATCAAGAGCTTTCCACTGGACCTACTATCTAAAATGATGCGTTCACATTAGATACCACATGTACCATAACAATCCATGCTGAACACTGAGCTGGGAACAGCAAACACTTTCCAGTGAGATGATACTTCCCTTATGGTCTGAGAATAGAAGTTATCCTCCAGAACCAGGAAAAGCCACTTTTAGTTGTATCAGGCAGGCGAATGTCACTAAGTAGAATCACCATGCCAAAGTCACAGTGCCCAAAGGAGATGCAATTAGGCATCCCAGGAATCCCAGAATCCCAGATGCAATTAGGTATCTTTAGGAACAGAAGAGCATGCTAATTCCTCACCTCCAGCAAGACTTTCTGCTCCAGGTTTTTATATGTTCTGTGCAGCAGCTCCTTGGTCCCCAATACTCCGTACCACATCATGTTCTTTGTACGACTTCTAAGGGGGCAAATCAAAAGAGAAGAAGTCAGCACAGACATTTACCCTTTCACCAAGAAGGAAGAAAAACCTCACATTGAAATGATACCTGCTATGTCCTAAAACACAAAGGTGCTCTGCTTCCAAAAGGGTCAAGCACTCCGAGTGGTCACCATATGTATTAGGGAACTACTTCCCTTTAAATACGTGTCAGGTAGGAACTGAGGATGACTGAGTAACACACGCTACCAGGAACATACACAGACTCCCCTGGCACAGAACTTGTCCATCTCATACATCAGGACATCAACAGTGTTTGGCTGTATTAGCTCAAGTACAGTAAATGTACCAATCCTGGGCTACACAAAGCATCCTGCAGCTGCCCAGGTATTCAAAAGGCCAAACCCGAAGTTTGTATTAAGACAGGATCAAGGCCAAAACCAGCCTTTGTGGTACTTGTGCTCCTCTTGTGGCTAAATAGCCCAGGAGAAAAACCTTTGAGATGACATAAAAAGAACAAATGCACTCAATTTACACCAACATAACTACTTAAAGACCTTATAGCATAATAAATCAGTAATAAATCAGTAATTTATCTCCTCTGTCATGATTTCAAGCCTCGAAGGAGATTATTTACACAACACACCTATTCAGCACATGTGTACACAACCAGCTTCCAAACCACACAGAAGAATGAAGTGGTTTCAGTCACTTCTAGCATCAATCCAAAGGTCAAAGCCAAACCCACCTGCATTTCTCTGGGTGCTCATCACGTTTGTTGTTGAAGTCCAAAGAAATCTTTGCATCCAGTCCAATTCCAAAGTAGTTATTCATGACACACTTCTCTGTGTAACATTCACTGTCAATCAGAACAAAACTCCCATTCGTAACTCTGGGTACCATTTGATGTGTATCTCACACAGAATCCCAGAGTCACTTAGGGTGGAAAAGACCATCCAGCCCAACTGTGTCCAATGTGTAACTGCGTGTCTAACTCCATAAGCTGCCATTCCCTGGCACCCAGTCATGTAAGTCTGGGCTGCTGCAGCCTGTTACTCTGCTCTGGAAACTAATCCACTTCTCCTGAGGTCTGTTTGGAAATGCCCACTCCCTCTCTTCAAACTCCTGCACATACTCACAGATTTTCAGGCTCAGAGTTAAAGGGATCAGCGTGAATCAGCAGCCGGCTGATGACAGAGCTCCCAGGCAAAGAACCAGACATGCCAGCACGGATATCTGTAGGAAAATTGGCCATGGAGGAGAGTGCTGCTAATCATAAGCAGAAAACAGGTAACTTCAATCTCCAAGACAAGATAACAAGAGTTAATGTATTCTGCCCTGTCATTCGTGGAGAAAGCAAATAGCATTAGTGCTTTCTTCCACTCTGGAGGCTTAGCTCTTTTGACAAGCAGAAGGATTTCTGAGGCTGCCTGCAGGGTTTCTGCCTGACAGTGTATTGCCTAAGGCCAGCAGCACAGTTGCACAGGAACATGGAAAAAAACAATAGGAGTGTGTTCTCTGCAGTAGCCTTTTTGTTCCACGGTGAGACACGTAATGTCCCTCCTCCAGTTACTGGAGTAAGAGTAAAGTTATTATCCAAGTTGCTCAAGAAACTACTGTCTCCTGCTTCTTAAATTATCAACTGGTGACCCACAAGCAGTAGGTTTGTCAGAGAGGAAGGAAATTACCTGCCTCTAGAAGAGGCAATTTGTACAAGTAATTTGGAGGAAGAGGTGGAAGGACACTGCCACAGTGATGGGGAGAAGTTGCTACTCAAGAAGTGGGAAGTGGGAATTCTGCTGGGTCTGTGCACTTCCAGTGACTTCAGTCGTCACATGAAGGGACTCCCAAACTATGGCTGCCACTCTTCAGAAACCTTTCTCATATCCCCCTTCTCTAGGTTACTTTGAGATCAGCATCTCCTTACAATTGGTACCTAAATTCTGCCACTTCACAGCGTTAATGATAATCTGTGTCTAGGTCTTAGCTACAAACTGGAAATTATTGCAGCTCACTCCAAGCCTCCTCTTGAGGTCATCCATAAGGGGATTTCTCTCCTGCACAAAAGAGCATCTGGCAGGACAATGTCATGTTTTCTTGTGGGGACTGCAGCCTGTGCTACTGTCACCCATGCTCCAGCTGGCTGCCTCAGTGGGAAGAGGTGGGTGTCACACTTACTTGGGTAGAGGATTTTTGTGTTCAGCATTGGCAAGTTGTCCCGGTTTCCTGTCTGGGGAGGAAGAGATGCAGAGCTGCCCAGCGACAAACTTCCTTTGTTTATTAGTCTTTCGCAAGGAGACTTGGAGGCTGTAAAACACAACACAAACATGGCTATTGACAAACAATGCTGTGATTCAGACCAGCACAGGGCAGCGCAGTCCAAGCAGCAAGACTGGGTCAGGACTCACTCAACAGCAAAACACTTGAGCCACCAGAAAACAAAGAGTTGACAGAACCAGTCATTAAGAGACAGAGACATTATATATGTGCTGCCAGAAAAACTCACAGACTAGAAGCACCAAAATGCCACATGAAAAATGTGGAGATGAAAAAAAGCTGGTGCCAGCAGCGTAAGACAGAGTATTTGGCTCCCAATCAACACTCAGGGAAGTTTCAAATATATCTGCAGTGCTCAGGGATCTCTAACAAATTACTCAAATAACACATTGATTAAAGCAAACTGGCTGCTGTTCTCTGTCATCTGCAAAGGATGGCAGGGAAATGTTGCCAGGTACACGACATGAAAAATGCTCAAGACCGTCCTTGTCCAAGCACTGAAAGCCAAGAGAACCCAGATTACTGGCTAAGGTGCAAGAAAATTCATCACTCCTAGGCTCCATATGCTATGAGCACAGACCAGCCATCAGAGAGGTAGCAAAAAGTGAGGTGTATAATGCACAGAAACATGCAGGGCCTGAAGAGCAATCATGCAAAAATTAGAGAAAAACACAACACACCAGGTAATACATGTAACACCACCTTCCCTTTTTACAACTAACACAACTGGAATGCACAGGCAAGACCTGCCTGGTGGTGGCTCCAGAGCAGTACCTTTCCTCCTCCCCTTGGACACTCCACAGCTGCTGCTGTGTGATGACTGCAGGGACATTTTATCCTCGTTCCTCAGCTCCTTGCCCTCCTCAGAGGATGACAGACTAAGCAGGAAACCCTCTTGCTCCTGGGTCTGGGCATTTTGCTCATCTACAGCTGTATGGAGAGAGAAAGTAGGTGAGTTTCTCACAGCTCTTCCAGCAAGGAATACCTCCCACTGATGTAAATAAAAACAGGATGGGACTCTACATGTCCCAATTCCTTAAAGGAAAGAACAGGAATAACAAAAAGCTCAGGTACTCAGACATCTTGAGATGTAAACTGTGTTACAGGTGATGGGCTTCCATTTATTTGCATTTAGATGTTGCCATGAATTCTAACCAGACAGACATGAAGTGATTAATGAATTTTCTGTTTGTTTAATCTGTAGTGGTGCAATAACATCAGCCACTTGAAAAGGGCACTTAGACACATATAGTGGAGGAGGAAGAAAATAGCAGTTGGTAAAAACCAATTCAAACAAAGGGAAGAATCAGATTACATACTTTGGAAGAAGAAAAACAGTTTGGAAAAGTTGAACAAACACATCTGAAATGTAACTGGAGTTTGCTGGAGAGCTGACATGATATAAACACTAGCATGTTGCCTAAAGAAACCAAAACTTCCTTTGGATGTAATCAACAGGCCTTTTTCTCCCCAGCAGCCCCTGCCAGAGCACAGCTCTAAACTGACCACAGCTACTCTACCAGCTCCTTGCCTCCACAGGGGGACGAGCTCCCCTTCTTGCAGCCTCTTCCCCTCCCTTGTGCTGACTTTGGAGTTCCTCAAAATTACCCACAAGGCAATCCAACCCACCAGCCCATCAGAAACAGAAACACTTCAGGCTGGATTAAGCAAATTGCTTGGGCTCCAAAAGAACTCCACAAACACCAAACTGGCCTAAGGTAAGCAGCAGTGAGGTCAAGGCCTCTATTTCACCAGAAGCAGGCTGTTTGCTCCACTTCCCTCATCCCCTCCTACTTCACCTTCAGGAGAGGTTGTATACAGTGCTGCAGTGCTGGAAATCCAGGCAACACTGCAACACTTTGTAACTTACTACACAGTTGTTCATAGTGCACATTTGGGTGTGCCCTGATGCCATATCTGCAACTTCAATGCTTTTACCTCCAGTGACAAGCTGCAAAGTATTTCCTTTGGTCTCAGTTAAACCCTTGTTTATGACTAACATCTGGAAAACTGATGCCTTTCAAAGAAAATAGAACCTTGAGCTATGGGGGGTGTGCCTGGACAGAGATAAGAGTTAAGATGTGGAGAAGAAGGTCACCTGCCTAAGAAGTTAATAACAGAACAGAACTGATTTGTACCAAAGGTGCAGCATTGTAAGTTTTTCCCAGGGACAAAGCCTGTTCAAGAAGTTCCTGCCTGCTCTTGCAGTTGTGCCACAGCAATGTTTTGCTCGGCTCTGCTATGAAGAGATTTCTGAAACAATCCAAGTTAAAACACTTAAAATGCTTTTTCCCCAAGTATTTTCAGATCCGTTTTACAGCAAGGCCATACAAAGAGCTGCACTGACACAGTTGTGGTATGGGTGGGGACAGACAGGAAATGCAAATTAACAGAGTGTGGGAGGGCAGGAACTTCCTAAACCAGCCCAATGGGAGAGAAGACACCTTGATCTTCAGGCTCATTTACCAAGCAATGTGTCTAACAGGTGGGTTTGGCAGAGATGGCACTGAAACTAAATAACCAGGTTTACTGAGTGGCTTCTCTAGCTCAGGAGAGCTGTTGTCAATAAAGAACCCTACTGCCCTGGAACAAAGACAACGTATTCTTCTCAAGAGGCTGCAGAAGTGCCAGGCAGGACTCCTGACAGTCACCTTTCTCTGCGTGCTCTATGATCTGGCGAATGGCCTTTTTCAGGCTGTTGGCCCTCAGCATGAGCTGCTCCCGGGGCCGGAAGATCTGGGGCCGCGCTGTGCAGGACGAGCCCACCGAGCGCTCGCTCCCGGAGTCACAGGCACTGCCCGACCCATCCCCGTCCTCGGCCTCCTCTGCAATGGTGGGAGGAGGGTTTGGCAGAGATGAAGATGCTTGAGATTCATCATTCAGTGTCTTCAGCAATGAGTCCAGCTTCTCCTTCAGGACGCAGCACTACAAGGAGAAGAAAAACATTTGAGTAGAAATAACGGTAGCCTGGGTAGCTCATTTTTTTAGTGCCTGCTGAACTGCTGCTGTCCTAGTTCTCTGCAAACAGAGCAGTTTTACATTTCAGAAGTAGAAAGCCAAACAATTTTCAAATTTTACCTTCCTGGCCATGACCTCTGATTCCTCTGAGCTTTCTGTTGCCTTCTCATAAGCTTTCCCTACTCGAGCCACAAAATCCTTCACTGTCTCACAAAGCACCCTGGACAAGGGAGGGAGTGAAAACGAAGGCATGTGAAGACTGTCACTGGATTTTCACACTGCAGATTTCACTTAAAGAAGTTGTCCTCCAAATACTCACTTGGCTGAGGAGATGACCACTGAGTGTTGGTCAGAAGTCAAAATTTTGGACAAATGAGCAGCCACTGAGTCTTCATAGCAGAGAATCTTCTGCACCTGTTGACAGTCAGAAACAAGTCATTGGGGTGCTGCTTCCCAACATTACAACATATGCTGTGCAACCCTGGCTCCCCAGAGAGTACCAATCACTCTACAGGTTCTTTTTGCCCTGGAAAAGTTCCACAGTCCAGGGCTCAGTTACTCACTGAAAACCTGAATCTGAGGAAAAAACTACTTCTGAACCTAGAAACAATCAGCAGTGCAGTTCTTAGAGTCTCTGATCAACTGCAGATCTAAAAGCACTTTTTTATGACTGCTATGCAGCTTGTCACTATTTCAACAACTTTTTGTCATGACAGCAAATAAAAGTCAAATATTTCCTTTCTGTCCTGTTCCCAGGATCTTCTCCTCATCCCTCGTTCTGCTTGTTGACCCTGGTAACCCAACCTCCATCCTTCTCAATAATACTTCATTGCCTTAAAGCTCCTGATCTTTGCAGCTCTGGCTGCACCCAAGCCATGGCTCAGGTCTGCTCCACTGGAGCTCAACCACTGTCTCCCATCTGCTCCAAGGCTGGTGCTCCAGTCCCCTGCTCTCTGCATCCTGGGAGGTACCTCTGAGTCCTCATTGAAATCCTCAGTGACTGTGGAAGTAGAGGCCTGGCGAGGGAGTTTGGTTTCATACACCATGATGCTCCACCTGTTGAAAACCACACTTGTCACTACAATGCAGATGATTTCATCCTTTATCCAAAGGACATAACAGGTTAGAACCTCAAGGCAGAACAAACTGCACTATGGGGGGCCATGACGGATACACGGAAGCCACAGAGTTGGAATGGAAATGCAGAGGGGCTGAACTGGGGAAGAGGGAAGGATGACAAGATGAACAAATATTCTATAGCACAGGGAACTTCCCTGTACTTCTCTCTCCACAGAAATTCTACGGGCATTACTCAATTCAACATAAGAGATGCCAAAATGCAACTCAAAAAACAAGAAGCATTTTTAAATGTACGAAAATATAGGAGGTATCAATAGTAGGGGCAGACAGCCACTTCTGCATTCAGCTTTCATTTCTAAGCCAAACTCAAGATAAATTGCTTCCAGTTTACCAAGAAAAAAACATAGCTTAAAAAAATAAGTCATGACTTCAAGGGTGAAAAATTCAATTGATGAGAACTCTGGAACAGAAGAGAGGACACAGGACATCAGACAATTTCACTTGTTACTGTTCTGCAGCAGTGACCTGGAAAGCCAGACCACCTTTTGTTGCTAGAGGGTGACAGGGGATTATAAAAAAAAAAAAAATGTTATCTGGCATTCATAAGAGGTCCAGCAGCTTGGCAGAATCAAGACAGCTCCGTTCTCTCTGGAAGGATATTTTCACACAACTCTTGCACAGCAGAGGATGTTAGTGATGGTTACTCACCTGTCCAGCATTTTGGTACTGGCCCTCTCCAGCTTCTCCAGGATCTGTGGGAGCTGGGTGTCATCATCACAAGCAGACCCCCAGCCTAACACACGGGCAAGGTCATTCCCCGTTCCCAAGGGCAGCACTCCCAGCTGGCACTGCATTAGAGAAAAGGAAACCAAAAGTGATATTCAAATGGGAAAACACAAGCCAGGAACAGCCACAAGTAACATTACTGATTCCTTAATACAACAGTCACTGAGAAACAACTAATCCCAGGGTGGGGAGAAAGTAACTGGATGGGGAAAACAGCCAGGAGAGCATGCAAATGTAGAAAAATTTCCTCTGCTTTTAGTTGTTAATTGAGAGGGAAGCATTTTACAGCTACTACCTGAAGGAGCACACCGCTGAAGTAACCCCTCCTACAGAGGTTTGTATGTAACCATCAGGTGGTGCTGCTGTGTTTCTGTAAAATTAGCAGACACAGCTCCCAGACAAAATGGAAACTAAAATTAAACACCTACTCTGATGAAGTTTCTGCCTATGCCAAGACTCCAAAATTACACCACGAGAATTAAAGGGATGAGGAATTAAATAGATGAGGAGCACAGGCCACGTGGAACTCCCAAGTTTTCTAACTGCAGCCCTTTTAGAGCATGTCTCTGCTGGCAAGGGAACAGGAGTACTCCAAAAGCTTCATCTTGTGGAGGAGCACTGGAGTCAGGAATAATGAATTAATCCATTCCTGCTTCTGGCAGAAAACTCGTGAAGAGCCCTGCTGTGGGTGAGCTTCCAGCAGCTTCAGTCCTGGGGCAAACTACAGCTGCATGACCAAGGGAAGTCTCTTCAGCCCATGCTGTTGTTACTTCATTCCTTCACCCCACCAAGCTCCTGGGCAGGTACCTGTTTGTGAAGGTTGAGGCTATCAATCTCAGAGAGAACCCAGCCAACACTTCCATCCCCACCACAAACCAGGATCCGGAAAGTGTCAAATTTCTGGAATAAGCGTAAACTACAGAGGAGAGAAAAAAAGCAAGAGGGAAAACCAATAAGCTGTTACAGAAAGAAATTATAAACAATTCCAATCCAGGTAATGAACGTGGCAGCTTTGCTTACTGTAGGCTCTGATTTCACAATGAGTACAGGTCACTGTCACACTACAGATGAATTAAAATGGTTATAATTAAAATGGTTATTATAAATACAGCCAAGCAACTTACAATGGCTATTCACTACAGAAATATCTCCCAGACATGCTCTGCTACTAAAGCAGGGCACTTTTGTCTGTACAGAAGAGGAAACAAGCATGTGATAGCTGATTATCCATTGAATTAACTCCTTTTTGCAGCCTCACACCACTTACTTGTCACTGTTGGACTGCTCTGAGGCCACACAATCAAAGTAAAGCTTCAAGACAGGGAACTTCATGCAGTCACTCAGCAAGGAGACAACTGCAAGAGAATGTAAAGCCTCACAAGCTTTAGTCCTCCTTCTGGAAAAGCAACACAAACCAATACTCTGGCACCTGGTCTGTCCTGCAGGCAGGCAAACAGCTCAGCATTGTGAGTTGCTCTATTCACCCTTTCCATAATAATTAAAAACCTCTCCTTAAGCTGTTTGAAACTGTGCTTCTTACTGAACATCTTCAGGACCTACTGCCTGCTTTTACTTTGGTTTTACATGTATGTTTTTTATTATTATTACCTAAACAGGATTTGACAGAGTACATGGAAATCCTTATTTTATCAGGCATTGTTGACACACAAAAAATGGCTACCAGAAACGACAACATCTTATGGTACAGTCTAACTGGCACCAGCTGAAAATATTTAAATTATCAAGAAGCAGCCTTTACCCTATACTATCACTTCCCTTTTGAGAGAGCATAGAAAAGCAGCTGTTTTAGAAGGTGTGCACCACAGCTTGAGAAAATAACTGATTCCCTCCCTTCCATTCTCTCCTGCTTAAAAGCAGAATTCCTCTCTCCAAGTCAGTCCAACTGGGGAAGGGAAGAAGAAAAATACTTAATTTTACAAGTCTTCTTAGTTTTCAGCCAAACACATCCCCTGGACAGCACACTGCAGTTTTAAATGCCAGCATTTTGCAATGTGCTATGGCAAAGAACACAGGAGTTCTCAGGAGAGCAGAACCCAATGGTCACTCATCCAGGAGTAGACACTCCTAGATTTAGCTCCCTGCATCTACAGACCTAGTCGAAGACTTGGAGTCACAGTCAGAAATGGATGAGGGAAATTTACCTTGTGTTGGTTCTTATTATAAGGAGTGTCAATTTGCAACAAAAGTTACTCAAATCTGATGCAACAGAAAAACATTTGGAAGTGGGCAAACTAAAGACTAAACCTTTTTTTTAAATGAGAGTTGCAGAAATACATTAAAGAAATTTATTCCACAGTACTCTCTTTTTTTTTTTTAATCTACAGATATTCTAGTTAAAAAGTCTGAAATGTCACCAAGATCCCAGGGTAGAACCAACTTTACCAAATGCACTCATAAGAGATCTTTTCCCAATATCACCATAAAATCTTTAAGGGATGGAAGTTTCACATACTTCCCAGGTAAGTTATTTCTCAATAAATCTCATTTTGACAATATTAATTTTCTATCCATGATATCTGTCTGTTCACTTGAGTTAACTGAAGTTAATTCTCCTTAGCAGTAATCAGGAATGCCTGTTACAATCTGTTTGCAGACAAGTTTTCTTCTGGATTCAAGCTTTCTATGCTTGGTCTTCTTCCAGGGGAGTGTTTCTGGAATTCCCCCAAAAGGCCTCAAGCTGTCCCTGCTGTTACTCATGAATGGAAATAATAACCTTTTTCAACAACATTTTTGGTTTTAGCTAATCAATAACACCAAACACAGAGGGAGGAAAACCCCTCCAAATTTTGTAAGTGGTCAGTTTTCTCTGAGGAATAGGTTCCTTGTTATATTTGAGGATGAGCTTAACCAAAGAAATCCCTTGTACTTCTCTGGTATTTACAAGGAATGTGTGTTTCTACAGAATATCTGCCTACCCCAGGTGAGGTCCTCCATTCATGAGGTCAAAGACCTGGGCTGGATTCAGCAGCTGTTTGAATCTTCGTAGAAATTTTACACCTTGGTTGTCTCCACTCTTTGAGTTGACAAAGACCAACAAAGGACTTGTGCAAGAAGGGGGACAAGTAGCTTTCCAGAAACCTGTTGGGGAAAAGGGAAGGGAGAGGGAGGAAAAGCCAAGAAATGTGAAGCTGTCCATGGAGATGGACAGAGAAAAATACCAACACTCCACAGCCCAGCCCAGCTATGAAGCAGCTAATACTTGCCTTGTGCTTATGGCACTCACTGGGCAAATGCCAAATGTGCACAGCCCTGAATCCAGCATGAACCACACCTCATATTGCCAAGTATCACACTTATCTCCTAGCAGTATGCCAAAATTTTCAGCTTCCCCAACCTTCCCAAACTGCTTCTGCAATATTGTTATTCTCAATAAACTTCACCAGCTGCAGCTCAGCAAACACCGACATTACAGGGTGATAAACTGAGTGCAAAAGCAAAGCAAACAGTTCACTCAGCAATGGCTTCCAGTTGGGAATTTCAGCAACACCAAAAGCAGAACTTTCAGCTGAGAGAGCCTGGCATTAACAGTGTCAGCTGAAGGGACTGTGACTGAGAGGAAGAGAAACAAGAGCTACTTACTCGCAGTACTTACCATCTGAATCAATGCTGTTCAGAGCAGTAGGGGGAATGACAGACACTTTGCACAGCCCAAGAGGGCACTTGTTTGGCAGCAACTCTTTACATGCTGTGTGTACCTGGAAACACCACCAAAAAAGTAATTCAGACCCTCTCAGGCACTGTGGTGTAACTCCTAAAGCCACCCAACAAGAGGTTGTAAGACCAAAGAAAGGTGGTGGGGGTGAAATGACCAGGAAATGTCAATTGATAAATTTATTGATAAAAGTTATTTTAAGAATCAGTCTTCTTCTAATTGTCCTCCTTTCATTAGTATGTAGTTTGCCATTTGAATTTGTGAGGCCAGCATTTTGAGTGCTGAGAGGACCAGGTAACACATTCTGAGACTTTAGGAGCCTTGAGGCATTCTGCTTTCAAAATCCCAGCCTCAGCTGAGAGATACAGAGTAGAAACAAAAGAAAAAGCTGGGAACTCAAGAAAACAAGAAAGCAAAAAACAAAGCAGGAAACCATGAGGGACATAAGAGGTAAGAGAAGAAGAGATTAATGAAGCCCCCCAAGAAGAGCAGGGCACTCCAGTAATTTCTGGTACACCAGGGCTGCAAGACAGAGGGTTTGCTTGTGGTTTGAGTCCCCATTCTAAACGCTTATTTTGTGATACTTCTCTGACTAGTATTACAGACAACTGGAAACACAGCAAGATCTGCACCACTGCAGTGGTCAGGCGAGAGAAATCTACTGCAGTGGAAGGGAAACTGCTATTATTAAAACAGCTGAGCATTCTTTACAGTTTGTTGTACCTTTCCAACTTGTAGAAATAACAAACAATGCCTCCTTAAAATCCAACATATTCCATCCCTGAAGCATTGATTCATATCTAGTGTAATTAGATTCTTCTATGAAAGCTCACTCTCAAAATAAATTGAGCTTGTAGAGAAGCCAGGTACTTATTTCAGGTTACTTTTATGCATCATAGTGACACTTTTCAGCACAATTAAATTTCTATCTCTTGCAGAACAATAAAGCCCTTCATGGCAAATGAAGGACATGACAGCACAGTTAGAGATTTCGTTTTGAGTAAATGTCACTAAAAGAACACAGCCCAGAGCTGACCAAGGACTGTCCCTTACTGAAATGATAACTCACCATGGCTTTGCACCACAGGCAGCGCCAGTCTTGCAAACGCAGGACACTGCCACAGGTTTTATCACACACGGTGCATTTGGCACTCACGGGCAGGTTCCCCTCCAGCCACTGATGTGGCATCGAGATCTGCAAACGGCACAGAGGGACAGGAGCAATATGGACTTATCAGAGGGCAAACTAAAGGGGCAGGTGGCACAGCGGCTCTGAGACAGACAAAGAAGCAAGTCTTCATATGCACTGTTTAGGAAGAGGAGAGGTAGTTTCTAGAAAACACCTGAGGACCAATTCTGGCATTTTACATCATGCACAGAGTCCAGGTGACTCACCCCAGGCTACCCAGGAAACACTGACTTGCATCATATGCTAAGGTGCTGTTCCAAACACTCATTTACTTTTGTTTTGCCAAAACTCAGACCAAGTTTCCTGTGTCTCCAATTATTTAACCTTCAATTCCCCAGTCCATAGCAGGAGTTTCTTCCTATTAGAGTCCTTGATACCCTGGTCAAACTTTTCACACAGAATCTCATGCCCTAGAGGCCCTTCCCACATAAAGGCAGAATCTGCTGTTTATGTAGTGAAAGAAAAACTAAAGAGCTTTTTACAGGGCCAGTGCTTCCATATCAAAGTAAGGCTGCAATAGTCCAGGCTAACACCTACCCCATCTTCATCCTCAATGATATCTTTCCCGATGGAGGCCAGAGTTGTCCACTTGCAGTTGTTGGTTGCCCGCACAGCACAGCGCTTGTGAGCTTTAAACTTGCACACTATGGAGGAAGAGAAGGACATATTAATCCTTCCTCAAAAGTCTAATGTGAAGGTGTGTAAATAGCTCCTGAAGAAAGCATAGGCACGCTTTACCCTCGTTAGTACTGCCAAAACAATCAGCTCTAAGTGTTCTGAGAATGAGGATCTAGCTATAAATTCTTGCCTTGTCACTTTTGCCAGTTGCTTGTACAAAGCTCAGTTACTGCCCTGTTAAATCTGACATGATTTATACAGTCATACACTCCTCCATCCTTTTGCACAGTGTGGGTGCCACCTCATTCACACTGGAAGCACGAGCTGTGCACAGCCATATACATCTGCTAAGCCCGAGCTGAGAAAGAACAACCTCCTGGCATGCACACATTTAACAAGGACGTTCTTACAAACAGAATTTTTTTAATGAACAGGAGTATTCTTACGCATACTCCGCCTGCTACCTCAGAAGGGCGTATCAGCTCGCTGCAGGGGCAGGACTTTAATAAGGGAAGGCAGTATTTGGGTCTCTGGGAACAGTAGCAATAAAAGCAGGAGAGGGAGCAGACCTACCCTCACAGGACAGCCCGTGCGAGGTGACCCCGGACAGCGCCTCCCGGCACACGTTGCAGTAGGTGGGCCGGGCGTGCGAGCAGGCGTACCAGTTGTGCATCCCTGAGAAATGGTCCATGCTGTACTGGGTAGACTAACAGCACAAATGGGTTACAGCAGAGTCTAAAGAGAACCAACAAGACTTTTTTCCTCAAAGACTTGCACAAAGCAGTCAGAAAAGGAAGAAACAGAACACTTTTCTACCAGGGAAGAGTAGGTTGTGTGCAGTTTATACACAACTAGCAGTAACTCCAGAAGGTCTTCAAATCCAAAGAGATTTCCTGCTCTTGTCCCACCTCCCATCCTTGTTTCACTACAAATGAACTGGAGAATTTATCTTCTGGAGAATTTATCCCCATTTTTTGCTGGATTAAGTTTTCAGCAAGATCAGTTCCCCAATGTGGTTTATTGCGTAGCAGAGGGTGCTTGTGCCAGCATAAGGGAGGCAAGATCAGAGTGGGTAAAACAGAAGACAGCTTCTCTTGGTGGCAGTGCTGGCCTCACTCCAGCCCCAGGAAGCAGGCAGATGCACTGAAGCAGGTACAATACCAAACAGGCGAGATGGGAATTAGGACAGGGAGGATAACTGAAGAGTGAAAAGATAATGGGAGGGGAACTGTGTTTCATAACCTACCCCTACTCTGGAAAGTGCTATCAAGGTTACCAAGGGAGCACATACAAAGCCACAAATATTCTTTTGAGAATCACTTCAGTGTATTTGGGATCAGTTTTACAGAAGGCCTAACACTATTACCACCCACTGTAGTTAACGAAATGACTTATATTGACTTCAGTGGAAGCTGACTGCAATCTCAAACAAGCTGTGCATGAGCAGATGAGACACAGAGTACAATGGAACACATTTTCCTGTTACCTCAAAATGTTCACGGTTTTGTACAGTCTTCAGTGCTGCAATCCAATCTTCCATCTCTTTTCTGTTATCAGCACAAAGGATAAGCTTCCGACATGGAGTGATAATCTGAAGAGAGAAAATGAGGAGTGTGTATTCTGGGCACATCAGTGACAGACAGCAAGAGACACCTTGTCACTAGTTCAGCTACTGAAGCTATTTTCAGAGGCAGGGAGCTGCACAAAGGAACTTATTTGCACCTTTCAGCCATGTTTCTCTTCCACCATAACATACCCTAATTCCTTCCTAAATGTACAGAACCACAGAGATTTGAGCTGTCATTCTGAACTGAGTAAAGAAATCTTTCACACCCAAATAACCACCTAGCACAAATCAAGCACAGAGCAGTAGGATTGCAGACCTTGCATAAGTGGTTTTAAATTGGCAACAACATTGAAACATTTTGTTAATAGTATAATATATCAGTTTCTAGCAATTAATCAATCAGATAACATACTTTATAATATCATACTAAAAATCTGTTTCGTCATGACAAGAAGGGAGGGAGGAGGGGGGAATAGAACAAAATAAGTAATCTAGAAGAGCAATCACTGTATTTTGAACCCTCATGTTTCCTTCTATGTTTATTACCTGAAAGATATTCCAACAAATATTCCCCTAGCAGCTGGAGGCTGTGGTGAGCTTGCCTCCCTCTAAAAATCCTGTCCTCAATGTGTTTCTGTCCTGGGTTAATTCCCAGCATTATCTGCCCTGTGTTAAACAAAAGGTGCTTTAACACAGAGCAGAGGGCATGCAGGGGGCCACGCTCCCCTCTGCACAGGAAGGCAGCAGGTCCCTGTGTCCCCTGCCACCAGTCCCTCTCCTTCAGTCACACGGCGGCAGCAGAGAGAAATAAAGCTCTTCAGAGGACCATGGCTGCTGTCCTCGGGGCTGCCCAGTCCCCTGGGCTCCAGCCCTGACGAGAAATCAACACTTATTCTTCCTAAGACAAAAGCCTTTCTTCCCCACATTGTAGGTATCTCACTGGCACCTCCAACTGCTTTCCATCAAACTGACTTCTTAAGTTAGACCACTGCTGAAGTGTTTGCAAGACCTGGATGTAGGAAAAGCTGCGTAAGGTTGAGCACCACCAGCAAAAATCAAAAGGCTCCCTTTTATGTCAACTCTAAAAATTTCCTTTTTTCCTTTCCTGCACTCCTCTACATTTTGTACATGAAAAAATTTGCCTACATAATATGCTTTTCCAGCAAATTGTACCCTAGCATCTCAAAGAATGGATTAAAATAAACTTGGTTTGGGCCAATTTGATGAGGCCCAACCATGCAGCCAAAGTTCTGTTAATGAACACAAACACCCACACATATCACCCCAATGTGTGACCCCTATTTATTTCCATTCTGTTTCTCACTTCTCTCATTATCATTCATAAAACAGATTAAAAATAAAAGCCTCTGAAGTTGAACATCAAACTTTTAGTTGATGCTGAAGTGCCTCAGAGCATCTGCCAAGAAATGTGGATGTAATGTCAACAAAAGAGATATACCTGGAAATTTCTGCTTTATTTTAAGATGTTCAATTTTCAATCTCTATTTCTGCAGCATTCACCTGCAATAACATCAACCTGCCTCAAAGGTATGACCAATGCCTAGAAAAGGGTGTTACAGACACATTAAATGGGCAGTGAAAGGGGCTAAATCCCTTTTCAAAGCAGGAACTGGCCATTCATATTAGAAACACAGTTCTGGCATTTGGACCATTCTATCTTGGACAAAACGACCTGATCTGTATCAGCTGTAAGCAAACAGAAATAAATATTTACGCTATTCCAAAAATAAAACTTTGAAAAAATTCCTTCTCTCTTCCCTCACCTTCATTTAAACAATTCCAGCTCTGATAAAATTTATTCCCAAAGAAGGTAATCACAGGAATGTTTCTTCTTACTTGGGTAGGCAGAGAAGTGAGTAGTTAAATGCATTTCCATCAAAAACTCTGCTATGGAGGAATGGCTACCTTAGAGAAAGTTTTTACAGAGCACGAAACACTGATGCAAAAATCAGCATGAAGTTAGAAAAGAACAAGGGGCATCTCTGAGTCCTGCTAAGATGAAGCAGCTTTTTCTCTGGAAGTAAAACCAAGTTCAACTAATTTGTTCAGAGAGCACTGGGCCTGCCTTTTTTCTGGCACCAAAGCCAGGAACATCTATAACTGCATATGCACAACAGTACCATATGTAAAGTCCAAACACCCCAGGATGAAGCATCCAAGGACCTCTCACTGCTTTCAAAGCAGCCAGGTGTGGTAAGGAACCACCAGCTCTTTCATCAAGCCACTGGCTCTTGAGCACTGGGGAAAAACAACTCCACAGCTCCTACTCAGTGCTGTCCCCTTTCCTATTTTTCTGCCTTTGGGGGGGGGGGGAGGAGCAGGGGAGAAAGGAAAATGCAAATTATAGCATAGTTTTTAATCACATTGGAAGACATGAAATTTAAAATATTGGCATAAAATACAGAAATGCAGATACTGTTGAGAAGAATTAATTTCTGAGGCTACTGAGTTACTGGATCACTGGAGAGACCATCCAGTATAGAAAACAACTAATCCCTTCTTAAGTCACCTACTGCATCATCATAAAAAACCCCACATTCAGTGTTAGACAATCCTCTGTTCAAAGAACAAAGTTCGTAAGACAAGAGGATAAGTAATGAGATTAAAAGATTTTCATACATGAATCATCCAGATGAAGAGTCACAGAACTAAAATAAAGGGTCTATTGTGTAACAAAACTGCAAATAAAACGTAACTGCAGGATACATTTAGGAAGAGTGTTCCCCATTAGTCAGTTCTAAAGCAACATTTGCATTGCAATTTATTGGTATCACCAGAGATGGGAAATAAAAGAATAAAATCTCAAACCTCACTCCTAAGAAGGACAAATCGGGACAATCCAGGCTTCACTGTGAAGGACTGATAAGATTTTAAGGTAACTAGTGCACCAGTTCTTTGGGGAAATGAAGAAACCATACAGATCTGTTTTCCTGATTAACATGCAGTGGTGTTACAGTCAAACATTTTAATGGGGATAATTAGGAATCCAGAAACATGTTAACAGGGACACTTCCTTCACAGAGTAGTTCAACAGCCCTTCACACACCTCATACACAGCCCAGCCAACCCAGGTACCTTGGGAGCACAGGACACTCCTGCCTTCCCTGCACAGCCAACCCAGGTACCCTGGGAGCACAGGACACTCCTGCCTTCCCTGCACAGCCAACCCAGGTACCCTGGGAGCACAGGACACTCCTGCCTTCCCTGCACAGCCAACCCAGGTACCCTGGGAGCACAGGACACTCCTGCCTTCCCTGCACAGCCAACCCAGGTACCCTGGGAGCACAGGACACTCCTGCCTTCCCTGTACAGCCAACCCAGGTACCCTGGGAGCACAGGACACTCCTGCCTTCCCTGCACCGCAGTAGCTGCCAGGCTCTCACCTGCACAGGCTGACGTAGAGCAGGAGAGCCACTGCACTGTCCTGAGCAACAGAAAGAGGCTCTCACTCCCAGGGAAAGGAAAACACTCCTCCTACCACTTTTACCTCCCTCTACTTGAGGCAGTAATTTCAGCTCCAGACACCCACCTGCTGAAGGCCACTGACAGAGGGACAGAGGCTGTTACGGACACTGCGCTGCCCAGACAATAGCCAGGAGCCATCTACACCTCACACCCAAAAATACAAAGTAATTCTTGTCATCTTAAAAGCAACCCTCCCCCTGGAAAGCTGTCCTTTCCCAGCCAGGGAGCTGGCTCCCAGCTGCAGCTGCGATGAGCCGGCGCTGCGGAACATGAGGCTTGGTTATCCCTGTTGGCAAACGTGGCTACAAACCAGCCCAGTCCAGCTATTTTTCTGTGTTCCGGCTACAGCTCTTGACTAACATCCTGGAACAGTATATTCCACAGGATGACGACGCACTAGGTGAAGTAGCATTTCCTTTTATTTGTTCTAAATTTACAAAGCAGTAATGTCATCTAGTGACCTCTTGTTCTCATATAAACGGAGAGCACGAAAACAACGATCTGATTGCTTTTGAGTTAGGATGAAGGCTGCCTTGCTAGGAGTAAAAAAAAACCCACAATAAAAAGTCTTCAGATTTATTTATGATCTCATACATTTTTGACCTGTTTGGGGATTGGCAGAACTCTGAGTGTTCCTGTCCTGAAACAGCTCAGAATTTTATCTCGATATGAGCAATTACGCAAATTAAAAGTGTGTGTTCTTCCTAAAAAGGGAATATTAAAAACTAACATACTTTTTTGATCCTAAATGCTACTGAACTTTTGGGTGTGGTTCTTTAGATTTCAATTCTTAGGAGGAACTGGATACCCAGAGCTCACCACATGGTGACATGACTGAGGCCTAATCCTGACCAGAAAAACAGCTCCACAGTCATGGGGGAAAAAAAAATCTTTGAATCCTTTAATAAGTCCTGGAAAGCCATAAGGATGGGTGGGAATGGCAGGAAGGCTTAAAGACATTTCAAATTAGGGCACAGGTTAACTACAAACTGAATATGAAACCCTGGAAATATCTTTTGCAGAAATGAGGGTGACAATCAGCTCCCCAGCAGGTCACCCCTTTGCAGGCAGTTGTGTGCCCCCCTTGCAGATGAATCAGCTCAAGTCTATTAGAGAAACTCTCCATTTTCAGGCTTGCTCACTCTAAATCTAAAAAACCCTGAATCTGAAAACAGCCATGCCTTCATTGGCTCTCTTATGCAAATACCAATGCTCCCCTGACACTTCAAATTCAGCTTTATCTTGTCTGTCTCTCCCTGACATGGCACATGCCCTCTTACCAGCTGTTAACCCCCATCACCTCTCATGTTGACCCACACTCCTCTGTCCAAAACTAACACCACTTTACTGACATTTCAAATCCGGCCAGCTGGCAAAGAACACAGCCAACCAAAGAAAATTCCCCATTTCACGTTCTAAAAATGGACTGATGTCCCTGGATGTCCTTCCCCGATGAACAGCTGTGAATAATCGGATTAGAAAGGCAGTCCAAAAAACTCCTATATTAGACCAAATTTTACTTCACCCTTTGCTGTTTT